GCGTTGTGTCAGTACCCTGAAGGCCGCACGCGCGTGTGGATCTTTGTGTGTAGGCGGACCGATAGTGTGGCGTGATAGCGTCTCGCCCGGACTACATGTGAGCAAGTATATTAGGGCGGCTCCTAACACTTTTATTATCTACTGCTGTCTTTGTAGACATTGATCCTTGCCGGTAGAAACGTATTGTACAAAACTTGCTTTTTAAATGATAGAAATGCGGAAGATGTCTTTGTACGCAGCCGACGGTCTCATCCGAACCAGCGTGGACAGAATGTACTGATCGGGACAACTATATGAGTCATATAAACATTACCGACAAAGAAAAGAGACTGCAATAGCCATCTTTAGCTTATTGGCCGTTATCAGCCTGCCATAGCCAACCTCGAACTCTTGCCTTGCTGATAAGAAGTCCAACGCCCTAAAATTAAACCACTGACTCGTCGGCTTGCCAGTATAGTTCGGGAATATCGAGTTTGGCGTAAGGACGCTCCACGGATAGGTTATGGGACTCACTCGTCCTTTTCTACCTTGGGGTTCAATCTCGAGCCTGCCAGCAGCCGTACAACGGTTAATACTATAAGCAGAAAGAAAACCGTCATGTAATGGCTGCCTTGAGTTATTTAACAGATGCGTGTGTCAGAGGAAGGAGTCCTTTGTCTTAGGAGGATAGGAAGCCAGTTTTAGGCTAGAACCGCAGGGTAAAAAACTGAAAAGTCGGGTCGGCTTCGTCCGGTCGGTGCACGTTCATATCAAGGCACATAAATGTCTTAATTTCACAATTATTAAACTTCATTAAACCCAGAACATGCACTTTTTCAGATCGAATAGTTTAGGGAGTATATTTTGTAGGTATTACCGGCAGAGACAAGGACGCTAGGATAGCTATTTCTGGTTTATTAGCCGTCGTCAGCTAGCCATACCCAACTCTAGTGTGGCCGCTGAACTTGCTGCCACACTCGAGTTTCGAACTCGCGTCGTACCACTTCTATTTTAAGAAGTCCCAATTTATTACATAATGAGTATTGGATGGGATATTTTTGCAAGCGTTTTCCGTAAAACATGTTCGGATTTCTAAAGACATCAAATATCAAGCAAAATGTATGCTAGACAAGTCGCCTTCCTTCAACGGGTGGCATTTCTGCATGCGGTCAGTAAAAGAAATGTTCAAAAGCTAGAGTCCTGCTGTAACTGGCACATACTAACATAATTCGAGGTTAAAATTAAACAAACTTTAAGATTCTACGAAATGGTGCCCGTTTACATTATGCCGTCGATTAGGTCGAAGAGGAACTGAGTAGCATTTCTGGGTGAATGAGTCACAGGAATAAATGTCCAAGACTGATCGGGTGGATTTCATTTTGCGCAAGTCATCAGTATGACCCGCTGTAGTGGCCCGCTAGTGCCTCCCCATGTCTTCTCTTCTCCTAAAGAACCGGGGCCTGAAGATCATGGTTGCTGGGGTGATACTTTATTCACTTAACGCCCCCCTACGATACAGCTGCTCTAAATGCAAAATGCCAGCAGCATGAGTGAGGAGGTTGGATAGTCTTTTATCAGAAGAAAGAGGGGCGTTCACCGGGAGGGGTTTATTACAAGCCTGAC